GAGCCCCATTAACTGAGTTTTAAACATCATTTTAAATGGAAGATTTAAAGTGATGTTTAAATCTTCCATTTAGGCCCCGCCCACTCGATCGGATCGGCGATCGGTATCGGCCGATACTGATTCCGGCGATCGGTGATCGGCGATCGGCCCCGAAATTGGCGATCGGAGCATCCCTAACCGTAGTTACAGTAGTAACTATGGCCAGTACTTACACGGCTTAGAACCGTAGTTACTGTCGTTACTATGGCCAGAACTTACACAGCATAGAGCCGTAGTTACAGTAGTAACTCTGGCCAGTACTTGCACGGCATGGAACCGTAGTTACAGTAGTAACTATGGCCAGTACTTACATGGCTTGGAACCGTAGTTACAGTAGTAACTATGGCCAGTACTTGCACGGCTTGGAACCGTAGTTACAGTAGTAACTATGGCTAGTACTTACGGCTTAAAACCGTAGTTACAGTAGTAACTATGGCCAGTACTTACACAGCATAGAGCCGTAGTTACGGTATTGACTATGGCCAGTACTTACACGGCTTGGAACCGTAGTTACAGTAGTAATTATGGCCAGTACTTACGGCTTAGAACCTTAGTTACAGTAGTAACTGTGGCCGGTGCCTAAAAGTGTCAGCCAAACGGCTGCCCACTAGATAATATAATATTGGGAGGATGAAATCCTCCTTAATGGCCACACATGCAGAGCACACAGCACACAGTGAAGATTGTTCTCTGCATATCGTCCTAGTGCTAGGAGTCTAGTACTAGGAGCAGTAAATACAACAATATAGCGCTACTGCAACCATACCATGCGTTTACCGGGAGCGGGAGCGAGAGCACTGCCCTCACCCGCTGAGTTAAATAATGAAGCTTAACAGTACATGCAAGGTGTTAGCCAAGCGGCTGCTGCTAACAATCAAGCAACCAAGTCAGAACACAAATGTTAAGACCAGATAATTAGCTTCTAAGAAAGAGAACAGCCCGCATAGAACCGTAGGCCATGGTTACAGTAGTAACCGCACATGCGGAGCACACAGCACCCGCAGTGAAGATGTTCTCTGCATATCATCCTAGTGCTAGGAGTCTAGTACTAGGAGCAGTAATACAACGATCTAGCGCTACTGCAATCAAACCCTATGATACCGGGAGCGGGAGCACTGCCCTCACCGGCTGAGTTAATAGTTAAGCTTAACAGCAAGGTGTTAGCCAAGCGGCTGCTGCTAACAATCAAGCGACCAAGTCAGAACACAAATGTTAAGACCAGATAATAGCTTCTAAGAAATAGAAAGTACTTACCTTACTCTCTGCATCTAAACGAAAAACGGGTTTAAAATATGACACTCTGGGCTTTCCATACTAAATTGAATGAGGGACACAGCCAAAGCTGGGACTCAAATGCTAATGATAGCTCGGGCACAACGCCACAAACAGAACTTTCAAAAGAGCATAAGGGCAACTTTATGGGAGAGGAAGCGGGAACACTGTCGTCACCAGAAAGTCTAAGCCAAACAAAAAATAAGACAGCAATCAGGACAACTTGGCTGGGAGAGGGTGCGGGGACACAGCCATCACCAGCAACAAGCTGACACCAACCTGTCTGTCGAGGCTCTGCACAGCGCACAGCCGGCCACAGCTCATGGAGGACGCGTTAACGACCCGTAGCTCCGACTGTCAGTTACGAAGCTGCACGCGGCCAGCTGCTTACAGAGCAATCCCTCAGATCAAACGTTCAAACCTGAATGCTGTAGGCTACAAAAATGTAGCCACGGTACCCTCGCGCAGCGAGAAGATGAAGGGAACAGATCCTCTGACGACACCGGCTGATATAGCCGGGGTCACAGGTGACTTTGTTGTTATTGGTACTCGAGCTGCGCATGCGCGCGATGGACATATCCAGTGCTTAAAGCACCGCCTCTGGCGGTCAGTAGGGACGAAATAGAACAATACTTCATTCACAAATCCCAGGCCAGTGTATAGGACAAAAATCATATTTGCCTGCCCCTCACATTCAAAACGTGAAAAATTCAACAAATGAAATGGTCTAATAATACGGCATCTTTTCAAAAAAGTGTGCTAGTCTGCTAAATGCCTGTGTCGTTCTAAACGCACACTGAAATGGCATCTTCCTGATTTTGGAATTGGAATTCCTAACAGAGCCACAGAAGACATTAAACAACTTCTTCAGCAGAGTTGTTTTCCTCATGATGAATACAATCTGTGGATTGTACCTTTCACTGTGAGGCTGAATGAATGAAAGTCAATAACAAAGAGTTGGCATTAGGGTAGAGAAATTGGTGTCCAATACTAAACTATGAAATTGTATTTGTACATGTGATGAATTTCAAATGTTTTACTGAGACACTTTGAACTGATTCTTCACCCTCCATCCAAACTCATCAACATCACTTAGTTAAAAGTGAATTAAAGGAGACAGCAAGGAAAAAGCTCCCAGCGCGTCACCAGACACACACACACACACACACACACACACACACACACACACACACACACACACACACACACACACACACACACACACACACACACACACACACACACACACACCCTTATTGACTGTGTCAGTCACTTTTATTTGTCAAGTCACAGTGACTCAGTAGAAAGTCACATGACTGGCACCCAAAACTTCTGAGATAATGTTCCACAAAAAGAGTGTAAATGATGCAATGCAGTTAAAAAATAATATTTTGGCTACAGCTAAAATCCTCCAAAATTCATTATTTTTCTTCCTTGTCAATGTTCAGCTTAATCTGTCTTCTTTGATTTGGATTTCCACATGTTATTATCATTGCTCCAAATATGAAATGTTTAAGGGAGAGCAGGAACACCATTTAAATCTAACAGGATTACTAGCTGATATTGTTCTACATTGGTCTGTATTAAGCTCCAGACAAACTTATGTGTTAGCAGCCTGTTGCAGCACCCACAGATGCTGCGTTACTATAGTAACCAGTGTCATGATGACAGAATGAGACCACACGATCCAACCTGCTCATGTGAGGCCTATAAATGTATGTTTGTGTGCAAATAGAAAACATTTTAAAACAATCACAACCCTAAAGTTGTCTCAAGTACAACAAAAAAACGTAATACAAATATATAAAAAGATAACTCATCCAAATGTCCTTCTCAAACTCCACATCCTAAATATATTAGCTTCTTTCTCCTTGCCTCCATTAAAATCTCTCTGTCTTTGTTTCCCCTCCATGTCCATATCGTTCCCTACCCCCCTCTTGTCCTTTCTTCATTTCCATAGCAACAGCCAGGAGGAGACATTATTATTGACACAGGCTGAAGGTAACCAAGGCACCGAAGGCGCTCGTGCACAATGGAAATCTCATAAACCAAAGTAACACTAGTGGGCTGCAATAATGCATGTGGAAACACACAAACAGACACTGACCTACATCCAGACAGCCCCGTGTCAACTCAACTTTGGAGTGAAACCAGGAGGCAGGGTGAATGTATCGAGCTGTTTTGATGGGATGATTCAAAAACGTTTCAATTGGGATTTCAGCATGAGGGTCGTGTATTGATGAGCTCGTCAATGTTTGACACGAGGAGGGATAAGAGCAGGATGCCGAGTCAGAGCACGACACGGGAATATACACGCACACACAAATCCAATGGCATACATTTGTGCAACTATATTAGACTATTTTCAGAGGAACGTCAAAGGTTGTGTGTGCGATTTAGCATTAGCTGTTGCTTCTGTGCTTACAGACTCAACCTGACTTTCACAGCATTTTCACCATCACTTCTAAGTTACATTTGATGTTAAAAAAAAGTTCAAATGTTTGCTTAACTTATAAAAGATTGTGTGAATTTGTACGACCCAAGAATTTACAAACAGCGTTAATTTATCAGTCAATCTAATAGCACACTTCTCTGCACAGGGTCTCATACACTTCTTTGTTATACTTGATCGACATTTGATCAGGTAATCATGCTGAGATCAAGATATATTTTTCAAGGTGACATGCGTACAGCTGGGAGAAGCAAATAAACAAAAAGCAGGATGGAATGAATACGTTCAAGAAACAAAACTATTCATAGGCATCTATCACAAAAGCACACGCAGCATCAGAGTCATTCACAGAGATCAATTCAGGTTTGATCTTTCGTATCTACTTCTACCTCTACATGGATATTTCTACAGCTCCTTTTCAGCCAGCCCCAGAGGAACATAATGCGTGTGTCTGTGTACGAGTTTAAGAATAGTAACAGGTTCGTTTTCAGTAGTGAGGTGCGTCTTGGTGCTGCATTGCATTCTGCTCTATTTTCTACTTCTTCTGCAGTTCTAGAAACAGCAGTCTAGGCCTTTCCAATAATGTATATTATCATCCAAATGTTTATGTGATGTTTAGCATTGTAAAAACGATTATATCATCTAGAAATGTGAGTTTTAAACATCCATTGTAACATATAAGCTTGATCCGTGATTTATTGATCAGATAATGAAAATATTCTTAATCTCAAACATAGCCTGAATCTGAACCCCAAACAAAGAAAATGAAATGACTTTCCTCGTTTGCCTCTTGCATGCAGATCAAAACATACATAGGCTACATACCTATGTTGTTTCTCACACTATACTGAACATATACAGTACATAGACACACATTATAAAAAAGGCAGGCATGCGTACTGAAATCACAAACGTACAGTGTCTCTTATACACACTTAACACAACTCTGCAGTGCTCCTGGTGACTCACACCAGGAGTTATTGTAGCATACATACATACGGCTCACAACGCCCACACTGATCTGCTTAGACACTCACTTTATATAGAAACACTCCTCACACGTGCATTATTCACAAATCACAAGTCTTTGTACAGACAGACAGGAGTTGCAGTTAAAATACTTTATTTTTTTAATGGAGACATTTTTTAAAGGACAAATAAAAATGGAGACATACACCCTGGAAAAATATCCCCTCCTGTTTGTGAGTCTCAAGTATGAAGAAAGAAAAACACTTGCCTGCCCCTCCATCTTCTGATTGTAGCTGGATGATCACCGAGAATGTGTTTTACTCCAACTGAAGGATGCAGAGATCTTCAGGTGGTGGTTATAGGCTGCGCAGGACCCGCCCGCTGGAGCTGTCAGCTGCAGGAAAAGAAACACACCTCGTTAGGCGCTGTCCGTGGTACCAGCCGGCTCTGGCAGGCAGGACACGACCGCTTTCCCATCAGGGAACCACACACTAATAATCAATAACTTCCATTTTTTACAGGGCTCATTTCAAGCTATAAAGGACATGAAATAGATGGGGATGAAAACTAACCTCTACTTGAACATATTTGGTACATTCTTTACACAAAAAAGAACCCCAGATCCCGGAAGAAACGGATAAAAAGGGATATTAAAGTGACACTCACCTCTCGTGATTAGCAGACAAAGATACCCTCGCTGGGCTGCAGCACTGCCTCCCTCTTTTTAGAATTCGTCTCACACGGTGGGCTGCGAGGAGAACCGCACGTAACCGCACGCAAATGTTTTCATTATATATTTTCGTTTACTCCATCAACCTATGAACAATTGGAATGCTGGGATGCCGTGACGTTGCCCCGCCCCTCCGCTTTTACGTTCAGAAATCCGTGCATCATCGCCGCATCCCGTGAGTCCAATGTCCTATTATGGTGGCTGCCTTTATTCGGTTACTTGGTCAGCTTAGTTGACGAAAGCCTGGGCGCATGCGTGGTATAGGGTCTCCCGAGGGTCGTGAGGGGACAATTGTGGCCCCCATCTCTCCCTTTCTTTCCACGTGCTCTGGTGTCCTCCTTTCCTTCCCATGATGCATCTCGCCGGCGACCTTGACAGTAGCTGCTGGGCGATGCTGACGCTGCGGATGCTGATGCAACGCGGCCCGTTACTGAGGCAACGGGTCATGCGGTACAGCTTAGATGATGCTCCAGGTGTAGGAATAATTACATTTTAAAAAACATTTAATTTGACAGTATGTGCAGACAGTAATGGTTTGAGAGCCGCCAGCAGACAGGGCACATAACCATAACAATGCGAAATATAAACGGATATATCCAATAATGCACACTGCAGTTTCCCTGGTCCCATGATGTGCTCGTGACACAGAAGATAACAGTCAGCTGATGTTGCATCATGGAGGATAACATGATGTTGCAATTAATGTGGCATATTTCAGTCTAGTCAGAATGAGTTTGGAAAATTCGGTACCTCAATATTTATACTGAACAGTTTCTAAACTATATTTTCTAGTTTATTTTTTCAAATTTTAATTTCTACTTTTTTGATTTTTGCACTCCTGATTAGATCCTTAACTGCATTTTAACTGCATTAACCCTGTGGGTAATGTCCACAGTAATGACTCTTACATGTCTAATATGTGTAATGTGTCATTGTAAAGCGCTTTGAGCACCTGCAAAAGCGCTCTAATAAAAAAATGTGATGCATTATTATTATTTTGTCATCTAATTATGATTACTTGGCACAATGATAAGTTGAATCTCACATTTGTCCTTTTGTTATCACTTGAAAGTGGTCTAAAGCTTTGAGGTTTGAAAGGTCCAACAATAAAATTATCTCTTTAACTCAATGTTTACTTTCATAATATTGCCATGATGTTTCTCCATATTGTGACTTTCAATCTTTAAAAAAAGAATGTTGTCAACTTAAATTACATTATTATAAAATAAAGAGACCAAGGATTTAGGGGTTCGTGTCCTCTGATGGAAGGATATGTTTGCCATCTTCCATCTTCTTGTTTGTGGCAAAACGTGTCCAAATGTAATCCTCAGTTTCTTTCCTTGGCAAATTGATTATATACATTTCCACATTAACATCGAATAAACGGAACCAGGAAACAAGACAACAAAAGGGAAAAACACATTGCTGTCAGTCCTTACCTGTCCATCTGGCTGTTATCTCTCTTATATTTCAAAAATATCTTGTTTTTTTCACCAGAGGGAATATAAGTGGTTTCAAAGAGACGTTGTTATTTAATATCTGACAATTTAAATGTACTGTGGAGACAATGGGATCTATTACTGTAAACGTTACACAGCTCTCACCTTTCAACATAAAACACTCCTGAAGAGACATCTATTATTTTAAACTGCATATTCAAGGCTCACATTTCCGTATAGTTTTAGTATAACATGGATGATGAAATTAAGCAGGACAGCAAGGTTCACAGTAACATATCATTTATTTAGTCGCTTCTGTACAGAAAGAGCATTTAAGCATTTTCACATTAAGATACTTGGATGAAGACAGAGGGTTGTTCAGATCTTTCCAGCAAAACTTCCCGCCTCCAACTGATCGTCCCATTTCGTAACCTGCAGCATGGAGTAAGAGAAAAGCTCAGAACAGAGAAAGCACTAAGATGTTATGTTTATGGTGAACATGGGAACTTATTCCTGACATTAAGAACAGTTTCAAACGCACCCAGCTCACGGGGCAGAGGCTCTTGTAGACCCTCTGGTACCAGTCGCAGGGAGCCGTGTCCTGGTCTTTGGCGGACAGAGCTTTGTTACATCTGTGGAAGTCTGCAGAGAACAGAGAAGAAGAACATCTAATCAGGAAATAAACACCCTGACATTGCTGCTACTTCGGGTGAGCCATTAGTCAGCCAGTTTTTTTTAATCAAAAGAATAAACACATTTTTGATCATTTTTGATTTTGGTCTGAGACAGAGATAAAAGTGTATCACCTCTTTAGTTGGCTGCTACATCAACAGAGGGCAGGGACGTGCACAGGTACAGGCTAATGTTGCCCGGGCAACGGCCCGTTTGGCCTTTTTGGCTGACGTTCCCCTCTGGAGAGAGCGAGAGTTTGTTTTAGTTTTTTCTGTTGTGGCCGAATCAACATGATAAGCCTACAATTAGTATGGTAGCGTCTCGCTGCGGGAAACACACTTTGTCAGCGCTGTCATCTGCCGGTGCGTGAAGACCACCTCAGTGTCGGATTTTGGAAACTTGATTTTGAGTTGTCTCATGGCAGTTAGGGTATAAGGGACAAACCAGTCATTTTTTAAATCAAGTCACAGAATGCAAGTAGTCGCCATAGCTTATTTTGTTATGAGATGTGATTTACTGTTCAATTTAGTTGATGTAATAATCGCTTGGTTTCTTTTACATTAAAAACAAGTTACAATTTTCTAAAGGTCTTGTGTTTTTTTTCGGGGGGAGGCCCTTTTCCAGTTTGGAGCAATAGCCCCTCCAAATGTCTGTGCACGTCCCTGACAGAGGGTGCAGTTAGTTTTTCCGCAGATTAAAACATTAAACTCACCTTTAAAAAGCAGGAACTGTTCAATGTGTTCAGTGTTGTTCTTGTTTTTTACGCAAAGTTCAAGCAGCTGCAGTAGGCTAAGTTTCTTATCCTCAACACATAAGATATTTTGGCAGAAAGAAAGATACACACCAATATATACTAATGACAACGTGTATAAATGATTATAATAACCCAATACATCTTAGGACAAAATAAAAAAATATCTAACATGTACTGAATTGTTATGTTTATGCATGGTTTTTTGTTGTTGTTGTGTTGTGTTGTTTGCTCCTTTTACCCCTCACTACGGGCTCTCCTCTGCAGGGCTGGTGTGTGACAGGGGGCGTGGCTGGTATTCTCCTGGCTGCAGATGAGGCACACCTGTTCCCACTCACCTAATCAACCTGCTCTTTAGGAGCCTGGCCCTCACCTCACTTCTCTGCCAGAGCCTTTCTGCAGCCTTGAGTCTAGTTTTGTTCACTTTGCAGTTTTTGAGCAACTTTTGAGTTTTTGCCTGGGACGTTTTCCCTCTGCTTTGTTGTTGGACCTTTCAGTACCTGCCTTGGACTAGCTTTCTTTATTAAACACATTGAAACTTTATTTGTGTCAGTCTCTGTTTTGGGCTCCTAAGTAGTATCCAAACGCCACACTGAATATTGGAAATACTTAGTCAATGTGACCTAAAAAGCCTTTAGGTGAAAAGATAAGGGATTACAATTGATGAATAAAGCAAACAATGTCAGAAATAACCTTTTTCAGTTTGACCTTATACTGCAGTTAGAAATCTGAGTTTATATCCACACATTCATCAAACAATAAGGTGAGGATAAGGAAATACATTCACCTTATAGCCAAGCTAAATAAAAATAGGCAGATTTGATCTGTTTACATGGTTTGGTTTAATGTTTGAGCTTTGAGTATGTGTGTGATAAGGAAACATGAAGATACAGTTTACAACAGCCTGAGGGATAACATCAATCTTTAGCAGCATTGATAGGGTACAGTCATTATGAACTAGATGTAGGGATGTGAAGTAAATGCATTATCTTATTTACCCAGATAGTTTTGGTAACAGTTGCGGGTCTGGTTAGTGTTGGGGAAGCGGGCGTCGAAAGGAGCCGTCCTGTAGTTCTTGATCTTCTCATCAATGGTGTCAGACATCTTCAGGCTGCTGGATCTCTGCAGAGGACCAACAGGATGTGACACAAGACTGAAACCACACTGACTGGACACAATAAGAAAACCAGTGGACCACATTGAGTAGACATAGCAGAAAGACAGTGGGTCTGCAGTATAGGCATTTTATCCTCACAACACACTATGCAGGGCAGTGGATAGCATTCCGCACAAAATGGTACATTTGCTAATGTTATGCTTGTATTGGTATCTGTTTTGGATGCCGAATTAAACAGACGACCCTAGTGACTAGTTAGAAACCTTCAGTTGTGCTCTACGTGGTATGTTTCTATCACTAACGATAGCAATATTTAAATTCAAAAGGAGTTTGGTATCACTTGTGCATGATACAACAGTGAATCATTGTTTGGCTAGCGTTATAGCCACCGGTCAGTATTTATTCAGGGAATGTATAAGCTAACAATTAGCTTTTTTAAGGGAAGTATAACAATAATGCAGGTAATACATCAATTAAATTTAAAATAAAAACAATATTTACAATAATAAGACTGTTTGCTGACGTTAACCTTTGGAGATAAATATACATTAACGATAAACCTGGTCAGGTGTTACTATGGACGCTATTCACATCTCCGCCATTTGCCCGGACAAACACAAAAATGACAAAGAAAAATTACATTAAAATATAATTATTAACAACGTACTAGTGAGGCAAAAAGCAAGTTATTTATATGAAATGCAGTGTACCTTTCAAAGAGAAATTCCGCTATAATCGCTGTGTCCTTAGGTCTGAAGGGCTGATCACTCGCAGTGCATGCTGGGAAACAGAAATGACGCTTCAAGTGTGTTTAAAAAGAGCAACGCCGCCATCTTGTGGACACAGTGAGGAAGTAAAACTGCACTCTGGAAACAGCAGCAAAGCATGACAGATTATACTGTACCTGCAGTTAATGATGGCTGTCACTACCCGATCTGCAGCTCTGCCCGATCTGCAGTGCGCATGTGCGAGATGGTCCGCCATATTGGACAACTCCGGACGGCAACCCAAGTAGGACAATATTGACACAGTGGCTTTTGACAAAGCTCAAAAATAAAACTCGAGAGAGATGAGTTATTGTTATTACAACGTGACTTCACTATTATTTAACAACTATTTTTATTGGGTTCTTTTATTTGGGGTTAAGTACATTGTCAGAATAAGTGAGAAATAGATTTAACTTCTGTTAGACAGCTATCATACTGAATACATATTTACTGTGAATGTGTGCAAAAATGTATGGCATATAACTGTCTAACAGAAGTTAAATCAATTGCTCACTTATTCTGACAATGTACTTAACCCCAAATAAAAGAACCCAATAAAAAGAGTTGTTAAATAATAGTGAAGTCACGTTGTAATAACAATAACTCATCTCTCTCGAGTTTTCTTTTTGAGCTTTGCCAACAGCCACTCTGTCAATGTTGTCCTACTTGGGTTGCCGTCCGGAGTTGTCCAATATGGCGGACCATCTCGCACATGCGCATTGCAGATCGGGCAGAGCTGCAGATCGGGTAGTGACAATCATAGATATATATATAAACCTTTATATATACAGTCTATGATATAAACACTAGATGACTCACCCGCGCTGCTGGCCAATGGAGACCGACGTTGCCACTTGGCCGCCATCTTGCTACAGGCAGTTTTCTCATTCATAACATTATGGTTTACTATTTAAATAACCATAGCTTGCTCAATTTTCAACCAATTTTCAAACGGTTTGGTTTTTTATAAACATCAAAGATGTAGTTATGATACTGCATACTTATAATCATGGACTTTCATATGAAAATAACATTAATCAGATAAAGCTATAGCTATACACACACACACAAGGTATTTATATTAAATATATTTCCATTTATTTTATTATATTGTTAATATTTAAAATAAATTATAAATAAATTATAAAATTAAAATACATTTATATTTTATATATAAAAATCGGTCTCATGTTACCACTCTGTAAGCCAAGAGTTGTTAATTTAGCAATGCCTTAGCTTGAAGAACAGGGACACAACTAATGACAATAGCATATGTTGGTATATTATTTAGATATTCACACCTTTATCAGAAGAACCAAACCAACATAAAATGTGCTCACAGACAGGCCAGTTCTGTCTAATTTATCACAATTATTTTTGACATGAGATCTTCATATCATCCTAGTTTTGTATTTAGTTTCTAGATTTGTAAACAAATCCAGAACCTTTGAAATATGTTATTGAAAAAAGACCAAGAATAATATAAACTGTACCATGTGTCCTTTTGTGTCCTTCTGTAGTCCATTTGTGGTTTGTCTTGTCTCACCCCGGCTGATATATCACAAAATCCACTGTTTAAATTGTTCCCTATATTGCCCCTATGCCCCTATAAGGTGTCCTTGGGTGTTATGAAAGGCGGCCCCCCAAAATACATGTATTATTATTATTAAGAAGAACAACTTGGTGTGGTGTGGAGGGGATGTAGGAAGCAGGAGCAGGTGGGGAGAGATGGGGCTTCAAGGTTATTTGTTTTAAATGTGTCTTGGAGATAAGGACCAGCTGCACACAATAAAATACAGTATAACACAAAACCAATAAGACACACGGTGACACATGGCACACCAACAATCAATCATCGTCCAGCCTCAGCTTTGGTATTCTTTCACAACCATGTTATGAGTTTATTAGACTGAGCAAACATAAACATATGTGGTGATCCCACGGGTTCTTGTTTGCAGACTGCGGTGATTAGAGCATTCCGTAGGCTGCACAAAAGTCCGGCATAGTCAGGTACTTCTATAAACACAATGCCAGCAAATTCCTGTATCATAATGCAAGATGTTTTTAACAAGCCAAACCACTTGGAAGAAATCATGTGTAACTTAAGTTATGTTGAAAAGAAAGAGCAGTTCTGCCTCTCCCACTGGTCTAAAGTTGCTGGGTGAACTTTGTAATACTAGGTCTCACTCACAGCCTCTTGTTATTAGCCAGCTAATAAATACAACCACATACACAAAGAAAAGCTGCAATTTCAACATGTCCAAGCATCCTGTATCATAGCCATGCTAATAATGTTTATAATAAACCAAACCGTTTGTAAATCAGTCAAGATTTCAGCGAGTTAAGAGTATTTTTGTGCAGATCACTCACCTTACAACAGCTACCATAACGCGAATCAGAGTAACTGTTGACTGTAGCAAGATGGCGGCCGGTCAGCTACGCTGGAAAATCTCCCATGAGCCATCTAGTGTTTATATATATATCTATGGTGACAATGGCCATTATGATGTTTGAAATGATGAATGTAGCATAATCTTCTTCTTCTTCTTCTGTGTTTATTGGCGGTTGGCAAACCAACTTGTAGGTGCATTACCGCCACCAATTGGACTGGAGTGTGGACAAGAGACTATGCAGAAAATAATAAACAAAACAAACAAAACAAAGAACCAAAACTCTAGATTATTTTAAATGTATCAATTTCTCTTAGAAATGTAATAATCTCACAATATTTATTGCCTGATGTTTTCTCTAACAGCCCTGATAGCGACGAGTCATGGCATTTTGCTTTCTTCAGTGTGTGGAAAAGCACATTTCTCTGAGTACTATATTTCCTGCAAAGCAGTAAAACATGCTCAACAGTTTCTGGCTGGCTGCAGTGTATACACTTTCCGGTTGGATGCTTTCCTATTATACTTAATGTATGATTGACACCTGTATGACCTATTCTCATCCGAGAAATGACATTTTCCTCCCTTTTTTTAAACCCTACCTTCATGTTGCATAATTGTAACACACAATGGTTATACACACATTCAAATGCAGCATAAAATGGTGTGAGGCATACATAAAACTTCATGTGCTTGAATATTGAACATTATAGTTTATTTTTCTCTGGCTTTACAGACATAGCCACATACACTTTATACAAAATTAACCTACAGTTGCAAGAAAAAGTGTGAACCCTTTGGATTCTCCACACATAGCGTTGTGTGTTCCTTCCAAACAACTCAACTTTGGTTTCATCTGTCCACAGAATATTTTGCCAGTAGTGCTGTGGAACATCCAGGTGCTCTTTTGCAAACTTCAAACGTGCAGCAATGTTTTTTCTGGACAGCAGTGGCTTCCTCCGTGGTGTCCTCCCATGAACTCCATTCTTGTTCAGTGTTTTACGTATCGTAGATTCGTCAAACAGAGATGTTAGCATGTGCCAGAGATTTATTTAAGTCTCTAGCTGACACTCTAGGATTCTTCTTCACCTCATTGAGCATTCTGCGCTGTGCTCTTGCAGTCATATTTACAGGACGGCCACTCCTAGGGAGAGTAGCAACAGTGCTGAACTTTCTCCATTTATAGACAATTTGTCTTACCGTGGACTGATGCACATCAAGTCTTTTAGAGATACTTTTGTAACCCTTTCCAGCTTTATGCAAGTCAACAATTCTTAATCGTAGGTCTTCTGAGAGCTCTTTTGTGCGAGGCATGGTTCACATCTGGCAATGCTTCTTAAGAATAGCAAATTCAAAACTGGTGTGTATTTTTTATAGGGCAGGGCAGCTTTAACCAACACCTCCAATCTCGTCTCATTGATTGGACTCCAGGTTGGCTGACTCCTGACTCCAATTAGCTCTTGAAGAAGTCTTTAGCCGAGGGGTTCACATACTTGTTCCACCCTGCACTGTGAATGTTTACATGGTGTGTTCAATAAAAACATGAAAACATATAATTGTTTGTGTGGTATTAGTTTAAGCAGACTGTGTTTGTCTATTGTTGTGACTTAGATGAAGATCAGAACACATTTTATGACCAACTTATGCAGAAATACAGGTAATTCCAAAGGGTTCACATACTTTTTCTTGCAACTGTATAAGACATAATACTTTTTTAACATCCTCTGCCATGAGCACACATACATTAAATAAAAAAAGTGGTCAAAACGGTTAATAATAATAACTAATACACATCTAAAATAAACATCATAAAAACAGCAGAAGACACTAACATTACAGTAACGATTTTATTCAAAACTTATTTTATGATACATAACAGGAGAGAAATATATTTAGTTTGCATTTTGGGGAGATTTCTTACCAGCATTATTGTTACTGTGTATTAAAGAAAAGTGTGATTTAATTTAGACATGTTTGTATTGAGTTATACATTCTAATAATAATCACCATCAACATGGTCTTGTCTTGTCTTGTCCTGTCCTGTCCTGTCCTCTCCTCTCACTGGAGAGTAGCTTGTCTCCTCTCACAGACCCTCCTCAGTAGGTTGGAGCACCTGTAGGTGAACCAGCTCTTCCTGTAGTCGTCTCTCGGGGTGAGGCGTCCACACAGCTCTCTGCTGTCTGCGTTATTGGGCTCACGCTCCCAAAACCTACAGGGAGAAGCAGAGGGGGAAAAAAACACAAAAACAGTCTTTAATCTGTTACCGTGGCAACCACTACTCCCCCATAAGAAAATGCATCATAAAATGAATACAACCACCCACTGTCTTTATTAGGGGAAATCTGATCATACATATGCAGAATGAGAACATATTTGTATAACTCTGATCAGAATTCATTATTAATATCGAAGAGTAAGTTCAAAAATCTTCAAACTACCTTTTACATTTCAAACAGTATGCTACATATAACAATATATATACAACATAATACCAAATCAAACAATCTTTACAAAAATAAATTATGTTTTGTTGTTACATTTTCTGTTTAAATGTATTTCCTAACACCTATTTTATGCTTTTTCTTCCTATTTAGACCCCCTTAATGTCTATTTTATTGTGCAATTTACTATTACTATCTTATTTGTAACTTGATTTTTTCCGTGTTTTTATTAAAAAGTGGAAATTACTAGGAACGTTTTTCATACAGACCTGAGCAAACTGAATGAAGTTAATTTTTTTGTACCTATTTCTCTGTATTTCACTCAGGAAACAACTTTACATGGAATCACTTATGTGTCCTTATTGGTGAACCAGCGACCTGTGACCAAACTCTTGAGTTACAGGAATAGAGATCAGGGTGGGGCAGGGTGTCCCTTAACCTCAGGAGCCCCGTCTGTCTCCGGTCAACCCCCCTCCTCTTCCTGTCTGCCATCACTCACCCTGGTCCCTTCTCCACCAGGGAGCCGTCACTCCACTGCCAGCCCCCGTCACCACCTCCCCCCCTGAGGCCCAGCCAGTACGAGTCTCCCTGGCTCAGACTCTGGGCCTTCCCCCACAGAAACACCTGAGAAACATGTCAGGAAATATCATCCATTTGTCAGGAAAGGTTTCAATGTATCACCCCTTTTCTACAAACATCATTTCACCACCCTTATTGGGAACAACATCAAGGACATAAACTGTGTTACATAAACAGTGAAAGACAAAACTTGAAACGACCTTAAGCTGCGACGTCTCCATATTTCACAGCAGTCTTAATTCTATTCTTAACTTCTCTCCCTGATGGTGTGTGAAATGTGTGTCCTCACAGCTAAAATATCAAGGAAAGCATCTCAAATGTTTACAAGTGGACACACGCAGAATATATCATCAATGAAGTTCCAGGAAAGACACATAAATACTAAGAATAGAAGGCTGTTTGCAGTAAAACCCATTATTATAATTCGCTGAATTGATTGAATATGTATTTGGAAGCAATCAGAGTGGGTTCAATGACTCAGGAAGTAGAAAATGATAGGACAGTAGTTATGTGTGTGTGTGTGTGTGTGTGTGTGTGTGTGTGTGTGTGTGTGTGTGTGTGTGTGTGTGTGTGTGTGTGTGTGTGTGTGTGTGTGTGTGTGTGTGTGTGTGTGTGTGTGTGTGTGTGTGTGTGTGTGTGTGTGTGCACCTGCTCCTCCTCTGTCTGCACTGTGGCCACAGCCCCCCCCAGTGCCATGCAGCGGTACTGGCTGCTGATCCAGTCAGCTCTGTCCTGACTGAACAGGAAACATTTTTCTCCATTAGGCGTCCAGCCGGCTGGACATGGTGTGCACACTGTCTCTGGGTGAAAAAACAAGAAGAAACAATAACAAGAATTCAAAAAACATCAGCATGTATTTACAAATTCAAGCTCAAAATGGCCCTTTGACAACAGAAATGACAATATGAAAAAAGAAACACATTTTAAGAATAGAAAATAGACAAATACCGTAGATGCTGAAATATTTAGGTAAAATAAAGAAAAGAGACCATTCAAAATAGTACAAATGAGAAAGTCTGTTAAAAAAAAGTGTTTCAGCTGACAGAAATATGCTGACAGAACCCACATCTCTTATAGCTCTGGTACATTTACATTTAAATGTGTAAACATTTTCCTAATACATCAAAAAAGTACTATGTCATGCAGTTGTGTAATAATCATGCAAATTGTTGTTTTAGGGGGAGAAACCAGGTGAATAGAACAACTATTTTAATAATATACAGTATCACCAATTCTTATAGCTGATGACTTATTACTAATATTAAATATGCAAATGATTTAACTCTGGTGAAGTTAGGAGACATATAGAGATGCAAATAGACCAAGTTAATACAATACATACCTAATGGTGTGTGTTGGTACTCATGTTAATTAATATAATACATAATAAAGCCAAAAGCAACCCTGGTTCTGGATTAAATAAGGAAATTCTATCATTTCTGTGATTGACCACCTAATTTATGGATTTTTAACAAAGCGACAACATTGAATATTTGACAAAATGCATTCTTTAGTTCGTCATTTCAATATGTCTAAACTTAACCTAACTGTTACCCTAACCCGTAAATATTGCAAACCTTACATTTGTCTTCACTCTCCTTCCCTGACCCTGGAGTCACACACACACACACACACACACACACACACACACACACACACACACACACACACACACACACACACACACACACACACACACACACACACACACACACACACACACACCACACACACACACCACACCACACACACACACACACACTGCTTTACCCCCAGTGCTGGAGTTGCTGACTGAGCAGTACTGGTTCAGAGCGGGATACTGGGAGAACAGGAGGCGATAGGACTGGTTCAGCTCCTCCAGTCTGTGCGTCAAATATTTCAGTTTGTTTTCCTGCAGGGCTGACTGTGACTGGAAGGTGAAGGTGATCTGAACCACTGCGATACCAAACACACACACACACACACACACACACACACACACACACACACACACACACACACACCACACACACACACACACACACAACACACACACACACACACCGGAAAGACAGAAAATTACTTAGGTTACACAATGTCCCATCACCTGTTTCCATGGATACAGGATAGTAAGGATGTGTCTGAGAGGAAACAAAGCTGACTGACGGAGGTACAATTAAATAAAGCACCATTCAGAAGAATCATAAAGAGTCGATCCGCTCAAACCTTCAAAACGAAGACATTCAGTCTGCTAGCACAACAGTAAAGAATGTTCTGGACTTCTTTAAAGCAAAGATGAAGACATTATCAGGTCATGGCTGCTGTTATAGTTTAACGTATAATAATAATAATAATAATAATAATAATAATAATAATAATACATGGGACTTTTATAGCGCTTTTCATGAAACTCAAAGACGCTTTGACAGAGAATTAAGAGGAGAAAAAAAGACAAGAGAAAACAAAAATATAAAATATATCCAACATTGTCAAGACATCCAAAGGAAAGCCTAACAAAATGAGACAAGGCAGAGGACAAGCCTTGAACAAGATCAATTCATTTCACATAAATGCTTAGACACCACAGGGTCTTAAAACAAAGGCGGTCGCAAACAGACTGTAACCAACTGAGACAAATGTGTAATTTGGGCTATATAGATAACACTGGATTAATTTGATTAATATGACATATTAACATAAGTTATAGAAATTGTGCCTACTCATGGGGTCAGCATTAAAAGTCAAACTGTAATGAAATACTCACAGCTGAGAGTCAGCAGGAGAGTGACCACGATGAGCAGAAAGCAGAGCAGAGAGAAGTAATGAGCCAGCTGTCTGTACCGACTCAACCAGCCTGAGACAAAAGACACATTTTAAGCCTAACAATGAATTTCAAGACAGAAGGTGTTCTGATGGACTGATTCATTCTGCAGGGGTCCCTATATCAATATCACTGTTTATAACTGCATTTTAAAAGAGAAAATGAAAATGTTTATTACATGAGTAGCTGATTATTTTATGGATCAACAGCATTATTCTTCTTAAACTTAACAATTTTCAAAGGACAACAGTATGAATACAAAACACTGAGTTTGTAAGCACTCCAAAGTTCCTTTAAGATAAAGTATTTTGCTGTGCTAAGAAATGTTTAAATATATGTATATGTTTAAATGATACACATTTGAACTTGAAATGCATACCTGTTAGTGCAGCAAGAAACACTTTGTCAAAAAAGAATAAAGAAATTACTTTTTTCTGTAGATGCTTCCTTTGGTTTCTCCTCCAGCAGAACAGATCCATTGTTGACTTTCATGGTTTCAACAGCAACCGTCGGCATGGTAGTTTGATTTTAGTGAATGCATTTATGCACAATAGCTCCGGGTTAACAGTTTATCTTATGTTGTTTTAATACCTCCAAGCCTTTGTTGCTCAGAAGCAGGAACAAAAGAACAGCCCAGTGTTCCTAATGTAAAATGATCTCACATCTGGTTGCACTGCAGCCATATGCAAAGCACAACTGTCTGATAACCAAACAACTGAAGAGTTCAGCAGCTGATGTTCAGTTTAACTCTCTACCATGGAAGTCCTTCCATCATGTTGCTGATTATTTAAAGGGGCCCTATGATGCTCATTTTCAGGTTCATTTATATGATGTGCCTCTACTGTGACATATTTACATGCTTTAAAGGTCTCCTATTATGCTAAATCCACTTTTTCATGTCTCTTATACATCAACATGTAAAAGATTCTCTCTCTTTTTGTCCTGATCCATTTATATAAAAACTTATCTGAAAATGAGCTGATCAGATTTTGGCCACTTTATGATGTCATAACGATGTTTTGGCTTGGCCAACCAAGGTAACCCCCCCCCTCCGTATCACCTGAATCTCCTCCTAGAGCACCATTGTGTTTTTTTGTAACCAAATATCTCTCGGAGGGGCGTGGCTCCTTATTTTCAAGTAACAGACAGAGAATCAGCACTTTTGAAACAGGGCTGAAACAGAGGGGATTATGGGATGCTACAATGATCTGTTTGGTATTTTGAGCCAAACACTTCAGAGACATGTTTTGTATATATCTGAGACCTATAATATATTGATGAAAAACAGTATATTAGGAGACCTTTAATGTTCAAAAAGTCCTGTATTTTCCTTATACTGCCTCCACCTCTTTTCACCATATGCTTTTTTCACGCTGGCCAGCGTTGTTGGGATTGGTTAACCGCTTAGACTTGTCCCGCCCCTTAGCCTATATATTACAATGTGTTGGTTTATAGCCAATATAAGCGCCAGTGTTACACAATGTTTTCATAATGTAAACAAAGGAGTCCAATCAAGGCATTTACATGCACAAAAAGCTAAATCGACAAATACTTTAATTCGAAGATGTTATACTGATACATTCATATCACCTGGAGTGGCACTTATTTTGGTTTTTAATCACGGCTGTGTTTACCAGAATTGTTACTTGATATTGTTAGTGCGAAATTTGAAAAGTAAATTAGTTTGTAGACCGTTTCCAATTTTTTAAATATTTTATTCAAAATCCTGACATTTTTACAAGTATTTGACATTATTTACAGCGCACATTATTTATTCTTTCAAGTTTTACAATTAAGTTTATAGTTTTGGCTTAAACATGAGGGAGGGAGTGTTGACTGAACACACTGTAATACTTTAAATATTTACAGCCAAAGACACAAAAATAAACATAACAAAAAAAGAAACCTAATTGACATTCAAGTTTACACCAAAGGCGAGAATCAGCAAGTCTTCATGCATAAAGTTGTATATCTTATTTGTAAATGTCATTTGTTAAAAAGCAGCTTACAAACTACACAGTTGAAGCAGGAGGTGTATAAACTGACGTCTGTAGAACAAAAACAGGAGCAAGGTTTTAAAGTGCTGCTCGTTTTGGCATTACAGTGGAAGAAAACATTTAGCAGATATGTACAGCTGTGTGCGATGATGTGGACCTGATGCTGAGAGATTCTATTACCATGGCAACAACAGATAACCCTTTTTACTATCAATAAAGAGTGCTCATACTCTCTGAGTTTAACTCAGAGAAAATAGGATGATAAACACATAATAAACTCCCAATAATGTGCTTTAAAATAACCACAGGGTTAACACTGCCTTAAGAAAGGGCTATGTACTTATTTACAATGTGAGGAATGCCAAAATAAATTATTTTAATAATTAAAAACAGATGATCTGATATAATTGACATATACAAAAACCTCTTTTGAAGTTGCAGCTACAAACAGAGATCCATAATGTCTCCTTTCACCTCTTTATTTTCTCTGAGCTGTTGCGTGTGTGTGTGTGTGTGTGTGTGTGTGTGTGTGTGTGTGTGTGTGTGTGTGTGTGTGTGTGTGTGTGTGTGTGTGTGTGTGTGTGCGTGCGTGTGTGTGTGTGTGTGTGGCTGCCATGAGCTGGTCGGAAATAGGCAGGATCAGAAAGGTTGTCCATGTGTAAATCCTGCTGTAATCCACCGGTAGCCAAGGGGACAACAGAATTACCGCGGTGACATCTTAAGGGTCATTTTAAACTGAGTTGGTGCGGTCATGTGAGTCCTGGCCACACACACCATGTCATGTCTGACATCGAGCCCAGTGCTATTATGTAACGGAGACATAGATCCACTCACAGACATAGTGATCTTTTTTCTTTCTTAAAGTTTAAAACATCATACTCAGTACTGCAATCTTACGGTTATGGAGCACACGTAACAAATGAAAGACTTTTTCTTTTCTTTTTTAAGTTTTCAATATGAAATACTAATAAAAACAATCCGCCAACATCTCAACGTGCAATATCAAAAGAGTACAGAAGCTTAGTTTGACGATTGTAAAAAAGTCCTGCAACAGCATTTCTCTTTTTTCTCCACAAATCATTGAGCAGATATTGGATGTCAGAGGAACGTGCATGAATCATCACCAATCATCTCTCAGTGTGGCTTTATTTGTATCCTGTGCCCTTAAGCCACTCTTTCACCTCCTGTACAGTCTGTGTTGCTCACATAGCAAAAAAGAAACCAAGCTACAGTAGTGTGGGTGAGCCGATGGCCACAAGAAACCTTTGGACCTGTTCTGATGGAATGCAATCCTATTATGTGTTCTGGATCCTTCAGATATAAGCCCTGCGCACTTTGGAGCTTTCAAAGTTGTCTAGCTGAAGCCTCAGAGCGAAGAAAATAGGGTGTAGGTGGAGAAGGCAGAAAGATCGGACAGGAATGGCAAAAATATATAGGAAAAGCAAAATAACTCCTCCTGCTCCAAGGCTCAGCTTGCAAGCGAGGAGAAAAATCATTCCCCCATCTTCGATCCATGACAAAATAACATTTTCCCACTCAAATATGTGGCATGGGCATGAAACCGAAAATGTCAGGATGATGATGCTATCTCTCTGTGTTGGGGTCCAATGATAGTCGTTAATGGCAGGGTTCAAAGGGGAGCTTGGCGAGCCCTCCGTGAAGCTCCACTGATTCCTCGGACCAGGACATCACATCACCAACTAGGTGCCCTGCGCAGGTCGCCTGGGTGTGGATCTCATTAGACGTCAAAACTCTGGACCAGAACTGGAGATCAGACATCCCTCCCATGAAGGATTGAGTGACGTCAAAGCGGCCTCCCATCGTGTCCTGTGAGGAGAAGCAAGGAGCAGGTCAAGATTGAAAATGTTGGATCAACTGAATCCTGAGTCAAAATTGTTTGACTAATTCGTCTAATAAGCTACAAGGTCTTTACACACTACGGAAGTAATACATATCAACCTGAAAATACTTGCCTGCAAATATTGCATCCAAACTAATGATTCAGTAGCAATGTGAATTTGTAGCCACTGCAACATTTGTTTGAAAAAAAAGGCTGCAATAGATTTGTGAACAAATAAATGATGGATTCAACATCATTCTCTATCTTATTGAGTATCTTATTAACCAAAATGTTAGTGTATTTGAGTTCTCTTTGGTAAAGAGTTAGCAATAGGATTTTTTGCTAAAAGTATAGGAATGGATATTGTGGAGCTGGCATGAGTTGCCTTTGTCAAGGTTGTAAACAAGATTAACATGTTCAGTTTTTGCCTGACAACACACAGTGTGTTATCATAAAGTCATCAAATGATACCACTATTCTACAATACTATAATTAATGTTTTGTTAAACCGACATCCGCAATGTGCACCGTGATTGGCCGATGCCTTCATTCGTAATACAAAAGATAAAGAAAAATAGACCTTTTTCCAGTAGAAGAAAGAGTTGCTTTTTGGGTTAGAAGAATGCTAATGCAGAATTCTAAAGTTTTTTAAGAAAGTATTCATATTGAAGTGCAAATTATTGACTCAAAACCCCCCGCCCTCTGTGTGTATAGGCAATACAAGGTAATAAAAAGAAAAGGTAACAAAAAAAGATTCAGCTGTGTTTGTACATACTGGATCTCTTCTAGAAAAGCATACCGTATGTCTTACCTGCTCCTGGCCCAGGATGAAGGTCCCTCCTGATTTGATGGGTTGCCAGCCTGACAGGTTTTGCCCCGAGCCTTTCTTCACCCCGTCCTGGTAGGCCTCCCAGACACCATCACGTGTCGTCCACGTTACGCATAAATGATGCCATTTCCCATCCGTCATGCTTATGGGCAACGTCACTGCCTAAAAACACAGGTAAACAGAGACAAACATGCCATTAAAGGTGAGGACAGGGAACGTTCCTCTTCTTCCATCTGTAGGAGTCTTTTGGTAAACATCACTAAATCATTGTGAAAACTAATTTCCATGACGAACCTTTATTGGATGAGCCCCATAAAAAAACTCTTCATCTTCGCTGTTCATCCTCATTAACTATTACAATCAATTGCAGACCGAGATTAATCTGCATATTGTGTCATTTATCTGATTGGGAAGCAAACATGGCACTGTATCCCTCCTTACTGTCACTCCTACAGAAAATAGGCCAATCAATTACAGTAATCAGATTAATTGCTTTGCTGATTTGTTTGTTTAGCTCACAGCAAACAGAACAAGGAAGGAAAAAAAAAGCTGTCCTCCGATATCAGTTTATCTGGGAATAAATGATAAAAAGCCCAATAGAATAATTTCATAATTTAGTTAACTTTAGTTTGTAGGTTTGTAAAACGGGTCAAATGTTATTTTTTTCTAAAATCATATTAATTGGAAATTGAATATTTTTTGCCTCTAAAGCATCAGATGGATTCAATATTGGTGAAAAAATGTATTATAACATTTGTTTCAACATTTACATTCTGTGTAATTTCTCATCTCTCTCTCTCTTATGTGTTATGAACAGTCTGAACCTCACCATCCCTTAAAATAAAGGATATTGAATAATCAAAAAACAGAATTCACCATAAAACCTATGGCTGATTCACACTGCATGTTGAATGTAAAAGTAAAATATTTGCGCTTTTTTCTTTAATGAAAGAAATCTACACTTACAGCATTTAGAAAACTCCATTACAACCCATGTCATGTTATAATTATTTCATGTAGGCTTCTTTTAGCAAAAGATTCATACAGGGCCTAATTGTGATACTTCCCTTTATACACAGCGCAAGTTCACCATGTACAACATGGCACTGCGGGAATTTTGAATGGATACTGTTGACCACTGTTCGAAATGGGGGGAGCCAGGGGGAGCTTGGCTCCCCTAAAGAGGGGGGGAGCTCCCCTGAAGGCTGACTTTGAGATAAATAGGGGGAGCCCAAAATCGTGCATATTTGTGTCACACAGATTAGAAATGTTGAGTTTCTGTAAATAAAAGTTCTTGAAATAAATAATAGTCATTGTTCAGTACAGTTTCTGAATATTTGTGGATATTTCTGGGTGTTGCCATCTGTACGTGGCGGCGCTGCATTCTTTACGCTACTTACGTTGCTATGGTTTACGGTGGCGATGCCGGCGTGGTATTTGAATTGTTCGTTATTGGTATTTTTTTAACTCTGGCTTTGTAATAGAAAATATGGCGAAACGAAAACAGCCAAGCCTCGCAGCTTTTGTATTCACAAGCAAAGAAGCGAAGGAGTCTAAAAATGACAACGTGAACGGAACAACTTTTAGTTGGCCGGCTGTAAGCGGCGTTAGGGTTGAGTTTGACAGCTCCACACCGAGGGAGAGGCTTGCCGATGCGGAGCCTGAAGAGGCTTCAACAACGGCCACAGCCGCCGGCGCCACCTGCACTAGCGAACCTGCCGATGCCCATGACCTGCCTTTTAACTGGACACAAAAAAGATGGAGTGGAGTGAGTGGAATGAAAGGTATCCATGGCTTTTCATAAAATTAAAAAAAGAATGTTGGCTAATGGCTATCAATTGGTTTTGAAACGGTAGCCTCATGTTGTTATTTTTTTTTCCTGAAATGTTATTATTGTGCTTTGGCAGTAATAACGTCTGTAGTAGTAGAGTGTTTTTATAGCAATTGATCGCATCCGCGTTGCTGCGCCAGTCAACAGAGCGTGCGTGTGACATATTTATTAACAGGATGTGCATTGAAAAATAGGGCTCCCCCGAAAGCAAATGGGTAATTCGAACACTGCTGTTGACTCAAATTACAAACTGTAGCTGTGCCCTCATGAAAATAAATTAGCTAACTAGCTGGCTAATGTTTTCACTAACAGTGCTTAATCATTACAGACCGCTCATATAATCCAATTAAATGAATGAATCAGAATGGTGGATTATTTCCAAGACAGTAGTTGTACGTATATTATAAGTAAAAGAAAAACACTAACAATGTCTAAAAAAAATGTGTATAGTGCTTTGTCCACCATATCATTCACATGTGTGGCTGGTAACACCTGTAACGTAGCTAAGAGTACTTTTCCCAGTACTTTTCCCGTTTAGTTCCGTTACCCCTTATTTTGCGTTCACACCAAAAAGAGTACTTAGTGCCGGGAACTTTTATCCCCATTTTTAGTGCCTGCTAGAAAGGTGGTACTCTCCTGAGGAGAAAAAAGTACACATTTCTATTGGCTGGGCGGATTGCAAACCACGCCCCATAAAACTCTGAAAAGTTTAGTGTTTAGTTCATTGTATTTGCTGGCATTAGCATTATTAGCATTAGCCCCGCGCACCAACGGAGAGAGATTAATTTATTGCAACACAAAAAAAAAACATGGGAGTGGTGGAGCGATGAGGAGGTGTCGGCGTTCTGGCAATTTACTCGGAAGGCTTCAGTAGAAGCTGCTGGGACTCCCAGCAGCTTCTACTGAAGCCAGTCCCCAACTCCGGGGACTTCCGGCCGGGGACTTCAGGTGACAGGATACACCCTGAAGTTGTTTGCGGCCTGCCAGTAATCCCAAAGCAGATGAAGAAGAAGTGACGTCAGCGACTCATTTGCGTAATCTTCCCTCAGGGAACTTATTCCGGTGTGAACGCGATTTGTACTTAGTTCCATGGGGGCACTTAATGCCGGCACTAAGTACGGCAAAGTACTTGGTGTGAAAGCGATTTTTAATCCAAAAATGCAGCACCAGTGTTTTCTCTAGCAGAATCATTAGGGACCACCCGCCACAAACAGGCGTGAACTTTAATTTGCTACAATGCTTCTCAGCTTCCTTCAATGGCTACCACTGGCTGCCCGAATCCGCTTCAAGTCACTGGTACTGGCATACCGTGCTGTGAAGGGATCCAGTCCTTCCTACATGCAGTTAAACCCTACACCAGGGGTGTCAAACTCAATTTCATCGCAGGCCACATTAACATTATGGTTGCATTCAAAGGGCCGGTTGTAACTTTAAGACTATATAAAAATACATGTCACTTGTTAGATGCTTTTATCCAAAGCGACTTACATACTCAATACTGTGGACAATCCCCACAGGAGCAATTTGGGGTGAAGTGTCTTGCCCAGGGACACAACGACATGCTGACTGCAGTGGGGTTTGAACATGTGACCCCCTGATCCGAACACCAATGCACAACCCACTACACCATACGCCACCAATAACATATTATATTACATTATTGCCTGTGCATTGCATTATTTTCGGATAGGGTAATAACTTCATAATTAACTACGTCTGAAAGAAGAAGTCTAGGGCAAATATTTGCAAGTATTTTCAGTAAGAATGTCACAAAATGATTTAAAAAGAAAAGCCAAATTCTGGAAAAAAAAGGAAGTGAGATTTTGAAAAAAAGTCAAATTCTGAGAAAAAGGCAACTACTAAGAAAAAGGCATATTTTGAAGAAAGAAAAGTCAAATTCTGAGAAAAATGTCAAATTTGAGATGCATTGTGGGACATGTAAAACGGCCTGTAACAATATAATAAATATATTATATTCTTTGCAAGCTCTTGTGGGGCCACAGAAAATGAAGTCACGGGCCGGATTTGGCCCCCGGGCCTTGAGTTTGACACGCCTGCCCTACACTCAACCACATGCACTTTGCTCCAATATTCAGCCAATTGGCTTGCTACTCCCTCACTGCGAGATGGACCCAGGTACCCCGCAACTAAAATACGCCTGATTGCTATACTGGCTCCAAAATGGGGGCACAAGCTCCCCACTGACATCAGGAGCACAGAAAGTCTACATATCCTCCATCGCAAACTGAAACCTCATCTGTTTCACCATTACCTTAGGCATTAAACCGAACCATGCAACAAAGCCCATTTGAAAGAAATGCCCCAGCAAATATGAGTGCATTTTCTTGTTGTTCTGAGTTTTTATCTTTGCGGTTTATTGCACTTTGTTGCTTTGGAATGTAATGTTAGAAGTTACAAAGAGTTTCTAAGTGTAGGGTTCTCAACATTTTCTGATGTATATGTTGTTGCTTTTACCTTGTCGTTGATTAGCAACTCCATTGGGTTGGTGCCCCATTTGATGAGCACAAGCTCGTTGGCTTGTCCAGGCACAGCGTAGGAGAAGGGAGTACCGAGGCCAGGCCCTTCTCCTGCCTTCAGCCACAGGCAGATGGTCATGGCGAAGACTTCGTTGACCACCGCCCGCTTCATCCTAGCATACATGTAGTTTGACTTCATGGGAAAGTCGAGCATGAAAGCGCTGGGGCTCTTTAGCTTTTTGCTATTTCCTGGTGAGACAGAAGGTTTCAGTTAGGACTACATGTACCTTTCTCCTACCAGCGCTTGGTTTCATTTGAACATCTGTTTCATGAAGTAACCGCTACAGGCAGATTTCTATAGCAGTTTCGTTACACAGTTCACATTGACTATACAGTATACTTGTCTTACTATTTATATTTATCAAGCAATGACTAAAACAGAGCCTAAACTGTACAGTGTGTGTGTGCGTGTGTGTACCAAGATCAGTGTTTCCATGGTGTAGTTTGTTGAGCACTGCCTCCAGCTTGCTGTGGCCCGCGCCCCGCAGAGTTGTCTCTTTGCTGCTGGAGGGCAGCTGCGGAGGGTTATGATCAGTATCATAATGGTCGTCGTGATGGTTGGTGCCGTGGTGGTTATCATGGAGATCCTCATGGTGATCATCGTGGTGGTCACCAGGTCCGTGGTGATACTCATGATGGTCATCGTGGTAACCAGGTCCGCGATGATAGTCATGGTGATCATCGTGGTAATCATCGTGGTAATCATCGTGGTAACCAGGTCCGTGGTGATCATTGTGGTGATCATTATGTTGGTCATTATGGTGGTCATCATGGTGGGTGCTGCGATGGGAGCCATGGTTCCCAGGCTGCCGAGTGTTCGATCGCCTGTTGTAGTGGCTGTTATGGCGATAATGGGGACCAGTGCGAGGACTGTTCCTGTGGCTACCATGTTGGTTGTAAGGATGGCTGCCGTGGTAGCCGTCAGAGTGACCGGTACCATGACGGCCATCATGGTGGTTATCACGGGGACCAGTCCCACGGTTGTCATTGTGGTGGTCGTCATGGTGGTTATCACGAGGACCAGTCCCACGGTGGTCATTGTGGTGGTCGTCACGGTGACCAGTACCATGGTGTTCATCGTGGTGGTCATTACGGTGGCCAGGGCCTTGGTGGTCATCGTGGTGGTTGTCATTGTGACCAGTTCCATGGTGACCAGTGACGTCATGATGGTCATCATGGTGGTCTTCGGTGTGGCTGCTGCCATGATTGTCGTCGTGGTGGTCATCATGGCGATCGTCATGGTGATCCCTGTAGTAGCTGTGCAGCTGCCCTTCCAGGGCGGTGATCTTCCGCTGGAGGAGTTCTCTCAGGGAGCTGGAGTAGGAGCTGGAGGAGTTCCTGGCCTGCAGAAGTACAAACACATAAGTCAGAATATCTGACTCTGTGTATACAGTGGATGCAAAAAGCCCCCAAATCTGATGTATTTCGAATCAGACAGTTAAAAAACTGTTTGTTGAACCTTTTCGGCACTATTTTAACTTTTTTTATCCACAAATTCTACTTTCTTACTCAGCTGTAAACCCCCCAGAATTGGGGGATTTATTTAATGCAAAATACAATTTCTACCACAGGAATATACAGCAGTAATGTCTTTTAACTTTGTTTGTTTTATGTCCTATGTCACTCACGTCAATAGTTGTATCATGATGCAAAGACATGCTGGACGCAGGTGAAGATCTCCACTATGGCTCTAATTGCAGTCAGATTGTCCCAGTTAGGATTCCTTCTTTTGTTATTTGTTTATAGTAGGGGCTAAATTATCCACAGAGGTCTTCTGATATCAGAAACATTTTGACCGCGTTATTATAAAACTAAAGTAAAGCAGTTTCACATTCAAAGTCAGTGTTTTTTAAATATTGCAAGAGTGATAAGGAAAGCTTCCACCATAGATCAAACCCTCCCCTCCCTGTTTAACATCATCATCATCATCATCATCATCATCATCATCATCATCATCATCATCATCATCATCATCATCATCATCATCATTAATATGAACTTTCTCTAAGGAAGTAACAAGAGAAGAAGATAAATGCCTTACAGTACAGTACACAACATATTGGTCATTGAACATTTGACAAAGTTATTCTTGGAATTTGAACTCTTATTGTTGAATTTCAAGCCACAATGTAGATATTCTATACAAGTGACAAGACAACTGAGCAAACATGATATGCTGATGAAAATGTTGCATCAAAAAGAAAGGTAGAGGACGATGAGCTGTAATTGTTTGTTTACCACTATTTTCCAAGGTGAAGGATAAACTCTCATGCTTCAATAATTGGCATATTTGACAAGCTCTCAGTTTGAAGGAAATAAAGAACAACATATGTTTGCAATACATTTTGTTATTTGCATTTGAAAGTAGAAATATGGAATAACTTGCAGGAAAATAGTTTCTGTCCCTCCCTCTTCTCATCCTTGTCTTCATCACCAACGAATCCGGCTTTGTTCCCTGCCAGCGCACGCAATGATTAAAAGCCTCGTCAGGCAGGATGAAACTAATTGAAGGGGAGGTTGGCTAGCGCCCTTCGGCGCATAGCCAGAGGCTAGAGGTGTAGACATCCTGTTAGAGGGGGGAGTGACGAAAGCTAAATCTTGGCTCGGCTTCTGTTTTGTCTCACACCTTCTCAGGAAGATTGAAGGGGATTTCTGGCAACACTTTCCATGAGACCACTTGCACTGATAACATGGATTTCACAGGCCAGCGGGCAGTAGGGGTTTAGTCTCGCTGTATGCCACCAGCATCATTAAATGTTGTAAACTAAGCAAGACAGAACCACATGCATCCCTTGTTATAGGTGCTGAAACTCAAATTATTGAGAATGTACCACTTTCTTTTGTAAATTGTGCGATGTTTACAATAAAAATACCAATTCTTAGAGAGAAATGGAAACAGCTACTAAAATTCTTCCGTCTGTAAACGTTTTTTTAGATGTCTGAATGGTGGTTTTGGCCTGTGACCATTTAAAACGACTTAAAGTTAACTTACTTAGCTTGGTTTTGCAACAACAACAAAAAACGTAACCTCATGCGAATGAACAAGGATGAATCAACAGTAAGTTCATGTAGAGATAACAATTTCTCAGAACCTTCCCTATTCCTTTTCTGAGCTTTACTGGTCTCACTCCAACACGTGATAGTTGGATACAGTAGTTTTTTAAAGTCAGGGGTGAGGGCTAATTAATTTAGATTAGCCTCCTGTTTGAGCTCTTGCTACTGATATCCAGCAGGGAGATCAAGAGTCGGAAGTCTTATGGGAGAACATGGCTCAGAGACAACAGACAAACAGCTGTGATATTTTCTTTGGTGGGCTGACAATGACTATCATGGATTGGTCTTCATGTGTATTTCAGAGGTTTTCCCCCAACTTCTCAATCTTACTAAAAATGTTAGATTTTTCCAAAACTACAGATTATCCATTTAAAGTGAAACTAACAATTTAAAAAATATACCACCAAAAGTTGAATGCATTGTACTCTAACAGTATCCAATGGGTTACCATGCCTTGATGAAACACTTCCTCTTTACAGTATTTTGGCAGCAGCAGGCACAAACAGCTTATTCAGCAACTGAGCCTTTGACCCTTAATGACGCAAGATTTGACCCCAATTAAGTCAAACCTTTGATAGGCTTCCCTGCAGACTTCTCAGCCTCTCCTGGCTTACAAATTACCAAGCATCTCAAACATGTTTGTATAGCGCAGGTGGAGTAAGTCCTCCTTCTGGAGCTCTCACAGAATGTTTACCCTTTTCACCTGAAGCATCACGGCTTTAATTACAGCCATATGAATACATTTAGATAGGAAAGATCGCTGTGCCTTGCTAGCCCTTCAGCATTTTTGTATAGTTAAGGAAACAAATTATTTTACTAATTAAAATATATATATATATTTAACAACTTCTGTAGGAAGCAACTTGAGAAAGAGCAGAACCCTGGAGCACCAACGTAAGGTTCATCAAAAATACATAAATAAATAAGAATAAACTTGACCTTGCTGCAAGCCTATGTAGTTGATTAACTTTTTAACTGATTCAACTCTTTGTTGCCCATTACAAAAGGGGTCCAAAGTAGTTTTTTTGGTAAATATGTTAAGATAAATTATATTAGCGACATGTCTATAATGCTAAAGTTTGTTTTGTTTGCAGATGACACCCATTTATTTACTTCTGGTTGACATTGTAAACAGAATCGAAAACTTTAAAATGCTACACAAGAGGCAACCATATATATATATATATATATATATATATATATATATAAACCTGACTATCCAAAAGGTAGCTAACTAATTTCTGTGTTTATTTCCTACTTGTGATGCAAAAAATACCTCTTTGAATTGCAAAGCATGCATTTCAGGTCTTTGCACTCACCTGCAAACTTTCAAGTCTTTCCTTCAATGTCTGCAGTGTCTTGCCCGTCTGCTCAGGGGAGAAGGAGCTGTGTTTTCCATACGACGTACCCTTCCTGCTGTGGGGGTCTGATCTGTGCGGGTCTGATCTGCCATGGGGGTAGTGGTGATCACTAGGGTGATACGTCCCATGGTGTGACGATGAAGGCGTGTGGTGGGTGCTGTGAGGCCCATGGTGATCATCATGGTGGTCATCATGATGGTTGTCATGAGTATCGTGATGGTTGTCGTGACGGTTTTCATGGTGATCTGTGCCATGGTGACCACCAAAGCTCTCGCACAAGGTGAGCTTGGCGGTCAGCTCCCTGATGGTCTCTCGCTGGTCCAGGATGGTCTCCTTTTGCCTCACTAAGCTCTCACGCAGGTGCAAGATGGTGGCTTTGGCCTCGTCGGACATCATGCCTCGCCGGCTGCTGCCATTGTGATCATTAGTGTTGCCGTTATTGCTTGGCCCATGGGGAACACTGGGTGGGGAGTAACAGCTGGGGTCTGCTTCTGGGGGAATTGGGGTGCAGACAAATTTGGGGCTAATCCCATAGTCATACTCTATACCAGGCAAACTTCCTGTTGCTGCTACTGCACATGACAGAAAGTAGTAGACAATTAGAAGACGTCGAGGGAAGAAGGGGAGGATACACCCCAGAGAAGGTCCAAGCCATTTCTGGTGTCTTGCAGACAGAGGCCTGAGGCTCAGAGGACTTACGTCTCTGGCCATTTTCGGCCGGAGTCCAATTTATTCCTTGACAAAAGACAATCCTCCCCTGCCTTAGCTGTGTTTTGAAGAACACCATGAATGGAGGTCATTAATGTTGGATTGAAAGATGTTTGGGCAATTCATGTCAACCCTAAAATCACTGATGAAATCTCCTCCCAGGCTTACTCCCCAAATGTATTTTAGAAGTCAAGCAAACAAACTCAAATGGTAGTATTCTGAAACCGCACAAAGGGTGATGTCAAACCCATAAGCTGTTTGCCTACAACAATGCAGTATTACCCAAGATTTGTTGGCTCCATGGTAAGTTTACAAGCCGTGAAAGCTGGACCGATGTATCTTGATAGGTCCTGCTGTTTGGAAAGAGGTGTTGGGTGCCAGCCAGGTGATCCCTTTTGAAACTTCTGTGTCCGACAGCCAAGAGTAACCCCTTTAACTTCGGCTTCTAACCGCCCATCAAATCCTAGGGTGCTCTTACCTGTGGGACAGAAAATCGATTAAACTCAGATAAGAAAAACTATGATGTAATATATCATAAATGGCTTAGTCAAACTTTGGTTGGTTAAAATGTTGGAGTATATGGCTGATTGTTTTGCACCATCTATAATTTACATTGCCACCAATAAGAACATACTAAAACAACAACTAGAGATAACATTAGATAAACTAGTCAAGATGTGGCTGTCTTTCATTTGATGATTGAAACTTGAGGTAGACAATGAAAATTGATTAAAGGGTATTTGGGTCATGACGAATTATAGATAGATACAAATATAATCAGATAGAAAACAGGTAAGTGCATAAGTGACAGATGATCTACATCAATAACAACTCAACTCCAATTATGAAATCACTCCGTCAGCATTTCCTTCCTGAACTGACCTGGCAGACTATGCTCAGTGACAATAACAGGCAGGTAGACCACATTAAGGGGAGGGTTAGTAGTGGGTCGGGCAATAAACAGGCTACAGTGTAATGAGATTATGGCCGATTAATCATGCTTAGCAGTTCACGTAATAAAAGCTTACTTCATTTAAAACATTGGTGATTGGGCAGTCACATCAGGGCCCTATGAATCAGCGCCAGAGCCTGGGGTCAGCATGTTTATTGGTTATTTGTAGACATTACAGTAAGGGAGAGTGTAAAATGGGAAGGACAAACTCAGACGGATGATAACGCATGATAACAAACCAAGAACCAAAACTAAATATCAAGAAGTTGTACATAGCTGGGTCGTTTAACCACTGTATGAGTTCAAGACACTTCCTATGAATATGTCATATTTACCTAACTATAACAGAATATTGTTCGGTTCAACTTTTCCCACTTGCAAGTCCCCATCTGGCAAGTATTATTTCTCATCTGCTCCACATATACAGTCAAAAAACCATAAATAATCACACCATTCTGCCTAATTTCGGAAGTTTTCTTGACAATAACAGTATAAGCTATTATAAATGTGTCAGTGGAAAGTCAATTTCATTGTAAGTGGTCAAGGAAATCATGTATTCTATCATGACTGACAATTCACATTTTTAAGGGGGAACATTATATATTTACTATTATTTTAGTCTTTATTTGACAGAAGACAGTGTAGATATGGGAAAGCAAGAGAGAGGGCCATGACTTGGATAAAGATGACCAAAGGCCGAATTCAAACCAGGGATGCTGAGGTTATTAGGCATGCGCAATAACCACCATTTTTGAAAATGTAAGGAACGACAGCTATTGAAGACACCAATACTATCTATAACAAGTGAGCACAACCAATGTTATTAAATGTTTCCAGCTTAAAAGTAACTAAACATCCCATCTGTTTTAAAGCATATGGCAAGTTTTGCATGTAGGGTCAGCCAGAGAACAAGATGCAAAGCCAATAAGAAGAACACACAGGTACCGTTCACTCTAAGGTCATAATCTACACATCCTAACACCAAGTGCATCGCTTCTCAAATTCGGAGAAAAAAACGTTGCTGGGAATTATCTGCAGCCAGCAACCATAAAGACTGGAAACAATGGGAAACAGCTAGCCTGACTTTGTGAAAAGGTCAAAAATCCACATACAGGGCCCCCTTATATTGACAAAGCACATTGTTTAATCTGTACAGAAAGAAAGTGTCAAATTAAATATTGAGATTTTATGCTGTGCTAAAATATGTCATGGGAAGTTGCCAGTCTTGGAGTGTCTGCTTATTTCCCTGACAATCTTACCAAGATAACATGACTTAAATCTCACATGCTGAAGAAATTACCTATTTTTTCTCATTTAATAAATAGACCAACTGATTGCTCTTCATTTGGGATTTAAATAATGTAAGGAACGTGGTTGTTATGTTGCATACATATAAGATAATCACTATTAAAATCGCAGAATCAAACCAACATTGATTGACCTTTCTTATCCACCCTAAACACAACAAATTGGTTCAATGAGTGCAGTTTAATAAGGTGTTCAATGCAACGCAAGCGCAACAGATGAAAGCCTTAATCTGACAATGAACCCTGCTGTCTGGTACTTAAGGACAACATTAGTGGACCATATGGTTTGTGTTTATTCAATACAAAACATATATAGGTCATGATAGTAGGACACTATATAAATAATGTTAATAGCTTTTTCTCCTGGGCAGTGAGAACAATAGCCTATCAGACCTTTTTGGTTATTTCAAACTCTTTTGGTGTTTATATGTATTTAATGTCAGTTTCTCTAATATTATCTTGATATCTGTTTTAAATGTTGACCAAAAGTAAAAGGGATTAAGCAGTGGGATGTTTACCTAAGCAGAGGCAGAGCTGACCACAGGAATACATTGAGCCTTACCCCCTCCTCTCAAGGATGACGGACTTAAAGGATTGGTTGGATTTAGTGCTATTTAACGAAGGATTGACTGCAGGGTCTTTGTTCGGCTAGAGCAACATGCCCCCCACTCAAAAAGTCAAGTCATTGTTGTCACACGTGTCACTGCAGAAGAAGAACATGTGCGTGACATGCAGCAGCCGCAGATCATTATGAAGCAACCAACAACAAAAAAAACACATATCTTGTTTTTAAACATTGAATAATGTTCAGATTGCATGAATATTCAGCTATTTAAATGATTACTATAATTATAATTATTTAGCTTTCTATATCATCTGTTTATACTACATAAAGAGATATCCACATCATTATGTATTTCATTTTATATCCTTTTTATCTTATTACATCTTATTTGATATTTTTCCTATTCCTGCAACTTACTTGTTCCATTAAGTATCTTGTAATATTTGATTGTACTATACTATTTCTTTTTGTATGAAGTATATTGTATGTTGCAATGTTTGAGGAGCCAAAAATAAGATATTTTGTATCCACCTTTGAATCCTTAATAAACGTACGGCCCGTCTACACTACAGGCGTCAAAAAATGCTTTCAACGCTTCGCCCATTCATTTGAATGGGGTGACGTAGGATATTTTCAAACTTCGCCGAACTGCATTGTGGGTAGCATGGCAAGGCGTTGCAAGCATCGCGAGCGTCTATCGGCGTCAAAAGTTGAACAATGTTCAACTTTTGAGGCTCGATGCTTGCTCGAAGCTGGCGTCAGCCAATCAAATCCCGTTTTTGCAATTCCCGCCAGTACAAGCGCTAGCCAATCAAACCGCGTGCAAGCTGGGAGAGCCAGACCGCAGTTCATTTCCTCATATTCCAAACGAGAAATTACGGTAGCAAATCACCCGGTTCTTTCCGACCAGAACTATTTACCGGGATACAAACCGGAGGAACCAGGCATGGAGGGAGGTGGCAGAGACAGTGGGTGAAACTGGTAGGTTTTCGCCTGTTTGGGGATTTTATATCCAGTTTACTTCGTTTTAACATTGCTATTGCTTTGTATGTCGGGGGCGGAAGATTCATGTGATTGATTGTTGGTCGCGTTGCTCGCAAAAAATCGCCAAGCCTCACACGCCCAGCTTCAAGCTTTTTCGACGCCTGTAGTGTAGACGGGCCATTTAATTTCCAACTCCTGCTTGCTTTTGTTTGAGCTTATCCAAGCTAACATAGAGTACAGTGTCCGGACATGGTTCAGTTTTCAAAGCCAATCCCAGCACCCTCACATGGATCAATTATCCAGGATGACTGGATGTACGTCCAACAGCTCGGCCTCCTCCTCCCCCTGTTCTTACCCTGACCTCACCTTTTCCCTCTCGCATCACATCACATGAGTCAATCTGCCCTCCCCCTGTCAGGTGACCCGGCTTGATGGTGAGTCATGTCAGTCTCAACGTGACACTAAAACCATCGGCCCCTTGAGGACACTGTGTCAGAACGAACAGTATTCATTTCTTTAAAGACTATGGGAGAGCGTTTTAACACCTACAGTAGATGGACATTAATCTCACCTAGGCAATTAAGGAGCACAATGTGATACAAAAAAAACGTTTTTTCAGGGAACAATAAACACAATGAGAATACATTTGATTCATTTTGTAGAAGTTGTTGAATATATTTGTTAATGTTTTCACAATTTCGGATAAATTTAGCGGCTTACGTTTAATTTTGTATTCCTTTTAGCAGATTTTAGAAAATTCATAGACGTGGATTTATGTGATAAAATGTATGAAAACATCAATTATAATTGACCAGAAAACACTTTTCTTTGGGAAAAGGTCATACACATTTTTAAGATCAGCTTCTTTAAAAAGAAAAACCAAAGAAAAAGTTCTGAGTCAACCTTTAGCACAACTTCATTTTAAAAGGTATAGGCTACCGTGACATGGCTATTTCTACTGATCATAATTCCATTGTATGCAGACAGGCATCTTGTTAAAGTTATCTTATCTTAGCCAGCGCCATATAGATAGATTATATCTATATGGCGCTGATCTTAGCTATCTCTTAGTGGAGGAAATCAATTGTGACATCACTTACGCGACTCTGGGATTTGTAGTCTTTCTAGTTGCGTATTTTTCATAGTCTTACATTTCAACAGTTTTACGACAAACTGTGACTTTTTTGACATGGAA